TTATATATAGATATTTCATTATATAAAATATAATATATTAAAATTTTAAATAGAATTATTATGTAAAATTTTGTGTAGTTAATAAATAAATGACATGTAATACTTTTGTCCAAGTAGTGTATGTATATAATTTATAATATATTTAAAAAAAAATTTTTTTTAACTTTAAATCAATATTTTTAAATAAATTTATTAATTAAATTATTATTTATTGAATTATAATAAAAAGTATCAATATAATTTTTTTTGTTATATACTGTATTACAAAATCAATAAATCAATTTAATAACTTAAATAGGGTTTGATCTTATATAAGAATCTACAAAAAAGTTCAAATTTATTATTGATGATTTTAATTAATATCAATTTTATTTTAAAGTTTAAAAATTTTAACAAAATTTATATCAATAAATTTATTAGAATATATTGAAACTTTGTAATTAAAAATTAAACAGTTTTTAAATATATTATTATTAAAATTATTGTTATTAATTTCAGATTCAAATTTATTATTTTAGTATTAGTACAATATTATTTGATATTGAATTTTGTTGATTATTATTTAAAGTTATAATTTAATTTAATAAATTATTTCTTGTTTTATGCTAAAGTATAAACATTTAATTCATCAAATTATTGTTTTTTATTTTTGATATTTATAAAAAATTCTATTTATAGGTTAACAAGTATCTCATTTATTTATTACAACTAATTTTTATTAAGTAAAGTTAAGATTAAATGTTATTTTGTTATTTTCAATTGACAAATAGTAATATAAAATAACAAAAGTTATTATTTAGCAGAATATATTTTACAATTCTGAATCATTAAATATTGATAAATTTTAATATAATATAAATAATTTTAATATAATACAACAAATTTTAATATAATATAATTTTTGATTAATAAGACTAAATACAAATATGAAATAATAAAATTAAATATAATAATACCAAATGATATTTTTAAATCTTTAATATTATATCAAATAATGATATAATAAATGTTGAATTATAATAATTTTATAATTAAACAATATCTATAATTTTATATAAATATCTTGTTAATGTAATCAAAATTAATCTTTGTTAAAATATCCAAATAACAAAAAACCCATTTAATCAAGATACTTATAGAGAATGGTTACAATTTTACTGCCTTTATTTTGATATTGGTTTGAAACCCTAGTAGCAATAGATTTGCCAATTACACCTCCAACAACAGAATTTAGTTTTTATTAATTAATTTATTATTAATTTCTTGTAATAAATTAAAGCCCCATTTTTTAAAAAAATTTGTTATTTCTAAATTAACATTCTTAAATATTTTAATATTAGATTTATAGCAATTCTTTAAATAGTTAATTTCTTATATGCAGTACATTTGTTAATTAGTTATAGATTTGTAAGTTAAAGTTAACACGAATTGAATTTTTTTTTATCTCTTACGATCAGTATAAAGTTTTTTATTTTCACAAGATAATATTAAAATTATCACATACTTTCAAAATTATACATGTATTTTTGAATTTATGATTCCATTATATTTGGATACAACAAGCGTTCAGTTTTTGTATTTCATCCAACAAAGACGCGAGTTCTATTCGTAAGTCAGGATCATGTTCCCACGCTAAAAAACATGTGCATTAAATATTTTGCATGTTGATATTACATTTATACTGACTGTATTTAAGCAAAGTCAACTAATTTTAAGATATTTACCTTTTCGAATTATTTTAGCATATTTTTGTTCATCTTCGCATGAGGACATCAATTTCTCCCGTTTACCAGAGGTCACATGATCCATCAACTCGATTATTTCCTTTTCTTTGTACGGTATCCTTTCATACCTAAGCTCCCAAAGCAGCATCCCAAAGCTATTGAATGAAACGTATTATTATACGTCGTGCCTAAAAAAAATAGCATATTTTTTTCACAATCTTACCTGAATATCTCACATCCTGGAGTATAAGGATATTTGGTGTGGAGATTCTTATATCGATACTTTACCATCATTTCGGGTGCCATCCAATTAAGAGAACCCTGATGATTTATCTCAGAGGTTACCCCTTTCACTCCTTTTGCAAACGTAAAGTTTGCAATTTTTGGTTTCCACTTTGTGGTCATCTAAGTCAAAATATTTAAGTTTGTAGTAAACGTAATATCAATGATTAAAGAAAAGAAAAGTGACTTACAAGAATATTCTCACATCGAATGTCGTGATGATAAATTCCAATGGCATTTAAGAAAACCAATCCTTGACAAATATCCAATGCGATACTGACTTTTTTACATAAAGATAATTTATGGTTTTCGTAGACTTCCTTTAAGCTGTGCCTTTCAGCCCATTCGTATATCATATAATCATTGCTTCCAGATTTTGACATTCCGTAAAATCGGATGATGCTTTCACATAAATGTAGTTTTCCAAGGATCGTTACCCGTGTTTTAAACCTTTTTGCTTGAGCCTCATCCTTCATTATGTTCACCTTTTTACACGCCACATCTATTCCTCTATAACGTCTCTTTATTACACTTCCGTGTTTTACTTCAACTCCATTGGGAATTTCAAGTTCTTCGAATGGAATTTGGTTTATTTGAAATGTTTGACCTTCTTTTCTTCTATCAATTTCTGAATTTGTTATTTTAACATGCTCTTGCACGGCGCTAAGGGATATCATGAATTTTTCGCAGTATTCTTGATTTCCGTTTTCGTTCAGTTCGGTTACACAAATATTTGGATTTTCTAAAAACTAATCGGGGTTGATATGTCAGTATTTTTCTCGGAAGAATCAAAGTCAACAACACAATATTGTTGGCGAATGTAATTATACCTTCATTTGTTCGAGGTCGCTATCGAGAATTTTCATGTCCTTTTCGGTATTAACAAAAGTACGTAACTTTAATTCAGAGGAACATGTGTCGAAATCTTCAAGTATCGTAAGTAACATATTCTTGATCGACTGGCTATTTGTAAATCTTTTAAATTGTGAAAGTTGAGAAATGTCTTCTACAAATTTTTGAATCTTTTTTATAACGTAGGCAAATTTTGCAAATGATTGATAATAATCTTGCGAATGAAAATCCTCCACATGATCCTCTTTATGACGAATTAAAGATTTTACTGCACATTCTGCAAATTCGACACGAGTTAGTAGGATCCCACACGTTTTCTTGTTATACTGAGATTTCCTATGGGCCTCGAATATGGCTCTTGAAACTTCAATTATGGTGTCAACCAATTCTAGGAATGGTTTTATCGCTACCGTGGCATCTCTCAGACTGATGCTTTCTGTCAAAACGTTTTTAGTGTTTGCGTTGTGGCCCATGATTTGAGTTGAAATGGATAAGATTACAAATTAAGTAAAAATCTATTCGACATTTAAATACTCGAGATTTAGTTGAGGAGGATGTGCATCCGTCCAAGTATTTATATTAACATGATGTTTAGAAATAATGGTTTTTACAAAACGCTTAACTCCGGAAATTAGCCGAAGGCACTGACATTCAATCATTTCCGTGATTGTTCTTCTAATAAAGTGTAAGGGATAAAGTGATAAAATGACATTTCATCGTGGCGTTGTTATCATGAGAAAAAATGACTACAATAAATAATCATTTTAAGTCACTAAATTAGATAATTATTACCCAATAAAGTTATCTATTCCTAAAGTGTTAAATCTGCCTCACCTTTTTCCGGCAACAATTTGCTATATCCACGAACCGCAACAAATTACAGTATCTCAAAAAAAAAAAAATCAAGTGCGCAGTACGGTGTTTGGTTGCTGAGACTCAAAAAAAAAAAAAGAATTTGGGCGTTGAATATAATGTCGGTATTGACCAAAGGCATTTCCCGAGGCTTATGTACTTATTTTAAATTATTTAACCGCCTTTTCTTGGTATAATGATTTGTGCATCACTACGTAATTGATCCCTTCAAGACTAAAAAAATTTTAATTTATGATAAGCATTATTTATTTAAACGAGAATTATTATTCTTGATTTTCATGATCAAATGATTTTTAAAATTCCATTTCATATGCATGTTTGTAATATACTGTCTATAGTGTTTATTTACTTAAATTATAATAATAACAATATTTTTAGAATTTTTATTAATATTAAATTATTAAAATATTACATACTGTATATACAGTAATCGATGTTTATTAATCATTAAATTACTGTATACAGTAACTAGAAAACGATCACATTTTTTGCTAAAATTGTATTCAATCTTTTTAGAATTATCAAAAAAATATTTTTTAAATAATGTAATATAATCATAATTAAGTATTTACAAATTCTTATCATTGTTTATGAAAATGAAAAAATCAAATGCATGCATGATTATTTGTTTAATATCCATCACAGATTTTATAAATTAAAATAAAATTTTTTTAAATAATTTAATTTAACTTTTTATACTTTGAAATTATTATTATTATCATTATTATCATTAAAAAATATTTATTTAATTTATAATTTAAATAATATACGGATTGTATTAATTTCGCAAAATATAAAATTCCAATCCAAGATTAAATATCAAAGGATTTAATTCAAGTCTTTGACATTTAAACAAAATTAAAAATAATAACAAAATCAAAATCAAATTGATTAAAAAATTGATTTTTAAATATAAGTTTTTTCATTGATTTTTTTTTTCAATTCAAAAAACATGTATTTCAAAAAAATATTATTATTTCTTTATAATAAAGTTTATATACTTTCTTTAACAATATTATTATTTAAAACTTTATATTCTTTTATTTTTTTTTTCTTTTTTTAAAATAAATTTTTTGTATTTTTGCAAATAAGTATAAGAAAAATATATTTATTGTTATACTTAATTTTTATTTAAAATTTTAATTATTTTCTTATTCTTTAATACTTATACAATACTTTTAAAATAATTTTCTATTACAATTAAATATCATATAAATTATTATAATAATATTGTTATATTTTTGTTTTCAGAATATTTTACAGAGGGTACTCATATTATTGTGGACACTTTTTATTATACAATAAAAAAATTAATTTTATTATAACAAAATTAATATTATATATTATAAAGCATATTATATTTAAATTTCAAATAATTATAATAATTCACTCAAAATCTATGATAAAAAACT